AGCCTGAGTTTGAAAGAACTGGTTCAGATAAGAAAACAAAGGGCTCTGACTCTTGAACACCTAACATCTTTATAACTAACTGCAGTTACTACTTAGATCTTGAAGTAGTATAAAAGCAAATCTTTGTACCTTTTAGCTTCTCAAGATGGAAATAGGGATAGTCCAGTTTCCTTTATTAGTGAATAAGCAAAGGCTCCTGGTACGTTCTAACTGGAAGCTGTCAGCATGGGAAACTAACTAAAACATGGCTCATGTGACTGGTTTAGGGCTTTCTTTACGTTGTAGGGCTTTCTTTAAGTTGGTAGGGATATTTGGGTAAAACATAGGAAAGCTGGTTGTTCTAAACATTTTGTTCTTTCTGCTTTAGATGCTGTGTTTTGGCTTGTAGGTCAAAGTTCTGTTGTTATATATAGTTTTAGCATTTGAAAGCTTAGTTAGCTCCTGGGAAATCCAATTGCAGGATTTTTTTGTTGTTATTGTTGAGAATAACATTATGTTTTTTTTTTTTTCTTAGAGACATCCAAACACACAGTTTTACAAGAGTTTATGGGGATGGAATATGCTTTGGCCTAGTTTCTCCCTTACTATTGTCACATAAATATTATATAGTGGATTAGTGCCACCTTACTGAAAGTGAAGGACGAGGTGTATAAATTCCACCTGTTGTTAAGTGCCATCAAGATCAGAACATCTCTCTTCCATTGCAGTTATATTGGAGTACGTTAAAAATAATCAAAACTAACCAAAAATTGAGCATATGATTTATTCTAGGCAGTTATTGATATAATTATATGGAGACTTTTTTAATTCAAGAAAATGTAGATGAGGCTTATAAAGAGAAGAAGAGGGAGAAATAATAGAAGATCAACCATTGGCTAATCTTAACATGATGCATTTAATTCTGCCTTCCCCCTTTTCTGAGGCCAACTGATATTAGATTACTTCTAGCTTGTCTGCTAATAATTTGGCCTTCCGACAACCATAATTTAGAGACTGTGTCAAGAATAGATTTGACATGTTGAACACTAATGACTGACAACCAGACTAGAAAGATGACATCCGACATCATATATAAAGAAAAAGGTTGATAAAGAAAGGAAAGACTAAAATGAATGTCAAAATGTTCAAAAGCGAACATGCTACTTTGAGGACTAAGGTAAACCTGATCCAAGGCATGGGATTTTCAGTCACGGAATGTTCATGTAAAAGTTGGACAATGAATGAATAAGGAAGACTGAAGAAGAATTGGTGCATTTGAATTATGGTGTTGGAGAAGAGTACTGAATATACTGTGGACTGCCAGAGAACAAGCAAATCAATTTTGGAAGAAGTACAAGCAAGAGTCTTAAAAGTGAGAATGGTGAGACTTCATCTCATGTATGTTGAACATGTCATTAGGAGGGACTATCCCTGGAGAAAGAGAGAAAGGATGTCTTTACTAAGATCCATTGACACAGTGGTTACAGCAATGGGCTCAAACATAGATTACCAGGATGGCCCAGTACCTGGCAGTTTTTTGATTGAGTGCACCTGGGACCACTATGCCTTAGGAGGACCCACTGGAGGGCATCTAAAAATAACCATCCAACTGTAACCAAGAGACATTTGAGATTTAAAATAAGAGGTAATGATTTGTTGACTATCCTTTCTTAACAGGATAAGACAAGTGTACATTGCTGGAAAAATTTCATCTGTCTTTTTATGGTTAATATTTGGTTTTGCCAATAAGAAAAACCTTAAAATCTAAGTAAGATGTCTGTTTTTAACTTTACATCAAGTAGTAGAAAGTATTCTGTGACTGCTGTTGAGCTATATGCAGTGGTGTGCCAAGGACTGGGCAATGTCTGCAAATTAGCCTAGGACATAAACTATAAAAGGTTGCATTATCTTGAAAGATTTAAAAAATGACAATACTTGACTAAAAGTGTATTTATTTTCTTTTATAACCATGTGCTTAGTGATAAAATACTCCTCTGATGGAAGATCTATTCTTCATTTAAATTCTGAATAAATTCCTTAGATTACTGAGTTTAAATGATACAGATGTACGCTGCAAATTAACAGATTTTTATCTTTCCCTGTTATATTTTTTCCACATGAAAGTTAATTTGAAGAGTTCTCAGCCTTGTGTCCCACACTCAGTTAAAAGTATTCATTTTGAGAGTAAATTCCTAAGCGTTCAGTATCTTTTGTTTTGACTTCCAGTGTGGTTTGTGTCTTCAATCCCTATGTATTCCTGAGTTAAAGAGTAGATTCAGTATATATATTAATGGCATAGCAAATATTGTGACTGAGAAGAGAATTTGAGCCGTTCAACTTTGTCTTTTCTATGTGACTACTTGGAATATTTTAATAGAAATAAAATTCACATAGCATGAAGTTAGCCATCTTAATCATTTTCAAGTGTACATTTCATTATCTTCCAGTACATTCATAATATTGTAAACTGTCATGATTATCTCTAGCTTCAGAACATTTTCATCACCCCAATGAGAAACCCAGTTCCAATTAAGCAGTCACTTTCCATTTTTCTCTCATCTATCCTCTGGCAACCACTAATTTACTTTGTCTCTTTGAATTTGCCTATCTTGGGCATTTCGTATAAATAGAATCTTTCTTTAACTTAGCATAATGTTTTCATGATTCATCCACTTGTAGCATGTATCATCTATATTTCACTCCTTTTTATGACTAATCATTTTCAATTTTATGGATGTACCACATGTTATTTATCCGCTCATCAGTTCATGGATATTTGGTTGTTTTCACTTTTTGACTAAGGAACTCTGCTAGCGTAATGGGTTACTCATTGGGCTGCTAATGTCAAGGTAAGCAGTGTGAATATACCAGTCACTCCAAGGGAAAAGATGAGACCTTAGAAACCATATAGTTAGTCATCATGAGTCAGAATCCACTCCATGGGATACCACCACCACCACTTTTTGACTACTATGAATGATACTGCTATGAAAGTCACTGTTTTTCCTTCAAAACTCCATTTTCAGTTCATTTAGGTGGTTACCTAAGAGTGGAATTGCTGCTTCATATGGTCATTCTGTGGAGTCCTGGTGTGGCACTGTAGGAGAAGCACTGGACTGCAAGGTCAATTTGAACTGCAAGGTTGGTGGTTCAAACCCACCAGCTACTCCTCAGAAACCCTATACAGTATCACTGAATTAGAAATGACTCAAAGGCACTTAACAACAACTACATGGCCATTCTATAAGGAGCGCTGATGGCACGATGGAATAAGCATTAATCTGCTAAGCACAAACCCATCAGTTTCTCTGTAGGAGAAGGATGAGGCTTTGTGTTCCTGTAAAGATTTAGAATCTCAAAACCCTATAGAGGGTTGCTATGAGTTGGGATGACTCAATTGCAATGTTTGCTTTGTTTTACGGTAATTTTATGGTTAAACTTTTAAAGAACTTTCACCAAACTGTTTCAAAGCAGGTGTACCATTTTACATTTCCAATAGCAGTAAATGAAGGGCACAATTTCTTTATATCCTTGAAAACACTTGCTACTGTTTTTTCTTTAATTAGTTATTTTGAATGTGAAGTGGTACCTCATTGTGATGTACTTAGAGTTTTTAATGTATAAAATTTAAAACATAAATGAGAAGTAATATTTTATTTGGTAAATATAAATACAGTTCATATAGGAAATATTTTACTGGATTTGAATAAAATCTTTAACATTGAAACTTATTCTTTTGTATTACTAACTGATTTTAAAACTAAAGAATGAATCAAAAATTTTAAATTATATCTGATATGATTTAGTAATTGTCTTAATTTTTTAAAATATATTTTCTAGTTTGATTCAAGTTCATTTATTGGCTACTGGACAGTTGTTTGCATAATATTATAATAGACTATATCCAAAGAATCAGAGTTATTGTTTTTTTATTTTATGATTATTGCTGAACACAACATTTGTGATATTGATGATAAGAATGATCTTCAAGTGTCGGACACAGTAGATGTCAACACCAATGCCAATATGTTGTTATAAATTCATAAAGATGGAGGACTAGAAGCACTGGAACTAAAACTCAGGCGTCCTGATCTATAATCAAAGCTCTTTCTACTATTCCTTGTGTAAAAGAGAACAGCTCACTAAATCAATTTGTTCCTGACTAATTTAGAATTAACTGATATATCATGGAACTCCAATGATATGTTAATACAACTCAAAAAATGGTTATGTGGAAACAGTAAGATTAGTAGGTCCCATTTCTTTGATATACTTTCGTTTGTTTCTACCAAGAAGTCTTGGAATCTGAGTATTTATTCTTCATTTGATTTATTCGAAAACACTTTGTGAAAAATATTGGCCTGGGGATCATATATTGATGGTTAGGAGGTATATTTGACTTCATAGAGGCCAAAGATGCTTTGTGTTTCTAGGGGAACGGGCAATAAGTTCTTTATTCTGTTGATAGTGTTCCTTGCACATGCCTTCACCGAGACTTCAGAACATTGAGCACAGGGATGTGGGATCAGCAGGATTCAAGATTCAGTTGTGTGAGGAAGGGGAGCTTTTGCTTTCTGACCTCAGCAGGTTACCTGTTCTAACAATCTATGAGCTGTTATCCATTCCCTTTTTGAATGACATCGATATTTCATATTTAGTGTGATTCTCATTTAACTGTTCAATATTCTTTAGTGATAGCTATTGATTGATTCTTGCCCTTTTCATATGCCTTGGAAAAAAACAGTTTCATGTTTGAAAAATAAAGACCTGGAGCACTAAATAAAGTTCTGTGTGTCAAATGCGCTGTTTGTTTGTTCTTTGCTATAGAATGGCAGAAGGAAAGTTTTTAGTGATTAGTACAGGAACTCACTTCAATCTGATTTGAGAACCTTCTGTGAGGGTGGGTCTGAGGACTGCTTAAATAATGCAGCAGTGCTTGGCAATATCCTGGCTGGCAGGAAACCTATACGAAAGACCACAAAATAACGCCGAGACCTGGAGCTGTGGACCCCACACAGAGCCTAGGCACGGGGTAGAGCACATATCTTGTGAGGCATTGGTCGAGTGGTGAAGCCAATGTCAGGGGTTAGGTCCAGGTCCAAATGGGAGACTCCAGGCGGTGGTTGAAAGGTGAAATTCTGCATGAGACTGGTAAAGAAAAGGAAAAGCTCCATCTTGGCCAATGACTCACCAGCACACATCCGCCGACCTGAGAAACGGATATGGTGGGTTTTAGAACGCATCCAGCATAGAAGTCTGAGGAACAAAGCCAAAAACAGTCGGCTTCTACTTTGACATGCCTGGGCCTGTCACTCTACCTCTGTTGAGACTCAAGACTCAAGTCTCCCAGTTTGTGTTGTTAGCCATTGTAAAGACTGCCAGCTCCATTCCTAGAATTGGTTGCCAATCCACCATTATCATGTTTAGGGGGTCACTGGTCAAATAGATTACCAGGCCTTTCTTAATCTGTTTTAGACTGAACGTTCTGTTGAAACCTATTCAGTATCCTAGCAACACACAAGTCTCCAGGAACCAATGTGTAGTGGCTCCTTCTGAGGCACACTGGCTGTAAGAGAAGCTAGTCTTTGTTACACAATGCAAGAATTCTGCTATTTAACCATCAATACCTCTGAGTGCAGCCTTACTGGTTACGAATTGGGCTGCTAATCTCAAGATCAGTAGTTCAAAACTACCAGTGGTTCCACGGGAGAAAGATGAGGCTTTCTGCTCCCGTAAAGATTTACAGCCTCGGAAACCCTGTGCAAGGTTGCTATGAGTCGGAACCAACTCCACGGCACATAACCACCAATCACCACCAGCACCACCACCATAATAATAGAAAGCTTCCCCATCCACACGCACCCAAAGAATTCCAAGGGAAACATGGGTGTTTCCACCTATTAAAAATAGCCTAGCTTTTTTGGTTGATGTGAAGTGATCTGCCCATGATCTCTTTACTGAACTTTCTCTTCAAACTTTCATGACTTTATTTTTGCCTCAGCCATAGCAATCTCCAAAGATTCCCTCAGAAAGTGGTGTTCCAGTGCATAATATCGTATACTAAACACCAAAACTCATTTTTGAGTCAGTTGTGACTCATCGTGACCTTACAGGACAAAACAGAACCGCCCCAAGGGTTTTCAAGACTGTAAATCTATCAGAGGCAGACTGGCACACCTTTTTCCGGAAGAGAGGCTGGTGGGTTTGAAACACTGACTTTTGGGTTATTAGCTGAGCACTTTTAACCCTTGCAGCACCACTGCTCCAAAAGCTAATTTAAAGACAAAGTAACAACTCTTCTGACACTTCATATTTCTGAAGTTTAGTGCCACATGCAAAAGTGCAAAGCCTTAACACAGTTCAGAGACAAGGCCACATCTCTCCAGATTTTTCAAACCTAGTCTTTCTCAAGTAAGATATCTTACCCACTGAAAAGGGTATGAAAGCATCTTTCTTGATAAACTTTCCATTAGAGTTGAGGAAATGCTCAGGATTAAATGTGTCTGGTTTCTCCCACTGTGTGCGATCCCGAAGTACTGAAGTTAGTAAAACGATGACCTCAGTGCCCTAGAAGTAAAAATGTTGTTAGTGACAGAGATGATTAAATCCCTTCCTAAGGATGTGGTTTTTAAAGATGTACTGTGATTTCAGATGGCAGCTTTTCAGACGTAGTGTGTACTGTTGGAGTTCTGGTATGACATTGAAAGACCAGCACTGGGCTGCTAACCACCAAGGTCTGCAGTTCAAACCCATCAGCTCCTCCACATAAACCCCGTAGAGGGTTGCTATGAGTCAGAAATGACTTGACGACACACAACAATATGCTCTGTCAGGAAACAGAAAAAGAGGCAGTGGGACTTAAGACTCAGTGTTATATAGTCACTTGCTGTGTTAGGCCCCGTCTGTGGCCTCTCCAATTAGGAGACCCCAAAAAGATTATCAGGACTCCAATTCAATGCAACAGCAAGAGGTTTATTGTTTATTTGCCAGCGCGCTGGGGTCCACCTTCACAGTCTCCTAAAACCAGGAGACCAAGGCGACATTTGCCAACGCGCTGGGGTCCACCCTCACATAGACTCCTAAAACCAGGAGCTGAAGACGACCCCCTATTGTGTTACATACCAGTTTTTATAAGGTTTT